CAACTTCAGCTACGTTTTTAACGAAGCTTAAGTTGCGTACCTTAGTTCGAAATAGGGGGGGTGGGGTAGACCAAGCCCTAGTTTCCCCAATATGCCACAGACTCAATGTGCAGCATTGGGCAAGACATTTAACCTCTCTGCCTCAGTTTCTCCATCTGTAAAATGAGGGAAACACCTCCCAAGAAGGTTGTGAGGCTTAATAACTGAAATTCTTTGGGTTCTCTGATGCAAGGTCCTATCAAAGCGCTACATATTCTTACCGCTTTCAGGCTATATATTTATAGGTATTCCGGACAGTGCTTTTGCAGTACATATGGGGCACCTCTTCACACAGCCATGCTTTTAATCAGAGATCACTGAATGAAACGCCAGTACTGAGACCCAACTCAAAAGCCATGGTGAAAGATCAGGATTAAAACAATTTTTAAACCACAGAGTCCATAATGACAGTAGCCAAGCCCCGAATGGTGTTTAGAGCAGATCTGTAACCAAGCATTCCCATTCTGGCTGTACCTCAAGTCGGAGTTACGCTGAAGGCACTGCTCTACGAAGTGATGGAAGTGGGGTGAAAAAGTCCGATGGTAAGGGTGCAGTGTTGACTCCCCATTGGCTGCCCTCACGTTGCTAACTGCCATCCCTTCACCAATCCCGGAGTTAGCACACGAGCGGGATGTTTTCATGGTCAGCTCCTCGGCAGGGATCGTGGTGGTGTCTAGCAGGCATGGAACAGTTCCGTTCAGCTTCTCCAACAGCATCTGAAATGGAATTGGATGAAAGGACGTCACATGCATAATACAGACTAGATACACCCTGGCCTGCTCTCTTAAATGTATCTGAAGTTTAAATACTCCGCCACAATCTTCAGTTGTGTCCTGCAAGAGGGTCCAGGGTCTGCATGTGTTGTATTTTCATTCAGCACTGCTCTTACTGCAGGACTTAGACACTAGTGTCCTGAGTTGCTGTTCTAACATGGATTGTATTACATGAACTTTATGGGCCAAATTCCCTTCTCACACAGGGCCCGTTCGTGCACATTGCAGAGCGCTCTCAACCTGTCAGCAATTCACAGTATCAAGCCTGCCGCGTGGTTCCATGAAGTCAGAGCAGTTATACACATGTTACAGTGCAGCATTCGGCCCCTTGCAGCGGTCATACTTGATGGCAAGTCTGTAGGTCTCCTAATCCAAGAGGCAGGCAAAGTTCTTAATTCTTTGTTATAACCTGGACTGATGCCACATTCCTGAAGGGCGGAGGTGGTTGTAGGGAGGAGATCAGGACACCTCTGCTTTCATATTAGATTCCCCTGGTTTGGGATAGTTGCTCTCCTGGAGCTCCTGTTGGATCCTGGTTCCCTCAGCAGCATTTAGTCCCCTTCATTCTTGCACCAAGGTTTCATGAAGTGGCTCAATGTGAAAGTTGATTTGGGTTAAAAAGCACAAAGGGGAGAGTAGATCAGGAGAAAGCAGCACGTCCAGGGCCCGTTTACATAACAAACCTCCAATAACCTTACACTTATGTAGGAATGCACAGAACAATGCTTTCTGTTTGGGAGTGATGTTATGATCTGGACTGGACACCAGAGCTCAGGAAGCGTGAACGCTCCAACTTGGCACAGGTGACATGTAACAACCCATCTACCACTGCTCTCAGTAACCTGTGTGCAGAAGGTTGTTATAAATGTTAATCAAGTTCTGTACCTGGACTTTTCTAGCAGTAGGATGGTACATTTCTAATCTGTCTTTCAAGGTGTGCCCCAGAACCCTACTAGTGTTAAAATGTTTCCCTGGGAGAAAACAGAGGGTGACACCAAGATGCTCTGGTCAATCTGCAAATGAGGACTGACTTATTTTGAACTGAATGGACCTGCTCCTGCTTCCACTGAAACCAATAAGATTTGATAGAGACCTCAATGGGAGCAGGATCTTGACTGGTATTGAAGGAGACTAACTGTAACGGTCTTCAATTCTCTGTCTACTGCACTGTTTGTAATACACCTCTACCCCGATATAACGCGACCCGATAGAACACGAATTCGGATATAACGCGGTAAAGCAGCGCTCTGGGGTGGGGTGGGACTGTGCACTCCAGTGGATTAAAGCAAGTTCGATATAACACAGTTTCACCTATAACACGGTAAGATTTTTTTGGCTCCCGAGGACAGCATTGTATCGAGGTAGGTGTATTCGATTCTCAGGTTTTATAGAAATCTACACAACATGTGGAGAGAGGAATCCCTTTGAGTTACGGATTTGATTAAGATTAAAGGAATGGCTCCGGGAAAGAAAGGCAGCCCCAAGAGGAAAAAAAGGGAAGGTTTTATTACACATTAAAAAAACTCAAAAAAGATGTCAAGTCAATTAATAATAATAATCTTACAACAGAGACCTTCAGAAGAAACTCCATATTTTGGAACATTTAAAAGAAAACTGGAGACAGAGCACTAGAAAATGTACTGTAGGGAACAATTCTGCGCTGACGAGGAGATAACCTAATAGATCTTTTCCAATGCTAATTTCTATGTACGCCTTTATGTACCTCTGAGAGGCAGACTCTGGTAGAGTGGAAGTCAGCAGTAGTTTAACAGGTAAGAAAGGAAAGAAGAGAGGCAAGGGTTATTACCCTTACTTTTGTGCAAAGAGTGCCATTAGAGATCTTTCACGACCTCAAGAGCTCAGAATCTGTCACATCTCATTACAAACACAGCTGCTGCCAGTAACTTGGTTCTTTGCATTTAGGTATTATTGACAGCTACAGAATTCAATTTCCTAACTGCACGGCATGCCGTTATCAGGTTGGGATGGAAGGAGAGCCCACGCAGCTTGTAATCCCTACCTGAGTAGCAGGCATGTCCTTGAATGGGACGTGGCCATTTGCCAGTTCACAGGCTGTTATCCCCACACTGTATATGTCGGATTTTGCATCATAACCCTGGAGATTCTAGAACCAAAGAGTGGGATGGAGAGAATTAGCTATAAAGTCAGTGAAGTGTTATGCTTATCCTTGTGGGAATCTGATCAGGTACCTGAAGGGGGAAGGACAAAAACAACAATTAAACCAAAGTACCCCGGTTCCCACAACAAAGTATTTGTAGATGTTTCACACTACAAGGCAACAAGGTTTGAGGTTGCTTGTTTTTAAAAGAAAATGTAGCTCTGTGTGCTGGTGATCAGTTTCTTTGGAAGGAGACAGAAGGAGGACTGCCCAGCGGTTAGGGCGCTAGTCTGCGACTTGGGAGATCCAGGTTTAGTTCCCTGCTCTTCCACTGACTTCCTGCGTGAGCTTGGGCAAGTTACTTAATCTTTCAGTGCTTTAGCTCCCCATCTGTAAAATGGGGATAATAGCACTGCCCTACCTCACAAGGAGTTTGCAAAGACAATTAGACTGTGAGGTGCTTCAGCACTTGGTAACGGGGGCCACATAAATACCCAAGATACATTCTTTTAGATACAGAAAGAGAATGACCATTTCATGTAAACTGTAACTCAGAAACTAGAATTTGGGGCGTGCTCCATCCAGTTCCCCTCCATTTCACACAACTACGCAGACTCCCCTCTGGAGCTTAGCCCCCGTACAGGCGCAAAACTCCATAACCAACGCTCTAGTCCCGGCCTTTCTGAAGGCTTATTTTGCCCCCATTGATCACCCGCTTCCCCCTTAGGCCGGGCTGATTACACTGCTGCTGTTTTTAAAGGAAAAAAAGAGCCAAGAAAGAATGAAAACTCATCAGGAGGAAAGGTGACGCTAAAAGTCTCTTCGGGTTTAACTTTTGGGAGCAACGCACAGCACAGCGGCTCTAAACAGTGAGCAGCCAGAAACCCAGAGAGCCATGGGAACAGACTGACAACACAAGGGAATGCGTATAACAAGATCAGAGACAAGCATTACTACACTCATGAACATGCTACGGTGACAGCATGAGTGCTGTTAGCAAGGGCTCAGGGACAGACCTAGCATTCAAGATTCCACCCAGTTTAAAGGAGTCTGTTTTAGCAGCTCTCCTGCCACCCCAGGTGCCTATCTGTGGGAGAGTAAACGGTCTTTTTCCCAGTTGCCATGGAGAGACCACTGAATATGATGTCCTATGGCAGGGGTTCTCAACCTCTTTCTTTCTGAGGCCCCCCCTCCCCCCAACATGCTATAAAAACTCCACTGCCCACCTGTGCCACAACTGGCTTTCTGCATATAAAATCCAGAGCCGGCGTTAGGGGGTGGCAAGCAGGGGAACTGCCTCGGGCCCCACGCCACAGGGGCCCCAAAGCTAAGTTCGGCTTCAGCCTTGTGTGGCGGGACTCAGGACCCCAGACTTCAGCCCTACGGGGTGGGGCTTTGGCTTTCTTCCCTGGGCCACAGCGAGTCTAACACTAGCCCTGCTTGGCAGACCCCCTGAAACCTGCTCATGGCCCCCCCAGGGGGTCCCGGAGCCCTGGTTGAGAACCACTGCCCTATGGAATGAAAAGATGCCTCTGTGGGCAACTCAGAAGGCTCACGTTCAGTGTCATGGGGGCAGTACGGCTAACGGGCTGCGCTTGCCACCAGGATATGAAATGCCAAGTTGACATGAATGGGGGTCTGGAATGGGGGTCCAGAGCAGTATGACCCACTCAGGACAACAGGCAAGTTTTGTCATTAAAATGCCAAAGGCCCAATTCTCCTGCTTGCAGAATCAGAGTAGCTCCCATTGAAACCCATGGTGGGGGAGAATCAGGCTCCAAGAAGGTCTGTGCTGCCTTTTCCAAGAACCATGATACAAGTTTTGTTACACGATCAGATGCTCTCCTCAGGCTACAAAATTAGCCTGAAAATAGTTCCTTGCTTCTTGGCCAGAAATCCCAGCAACAGTGAAGGACATGGGGGGGTGGGGGGGGTGTCTCTGTCCACTAGTGAGAAAGTCAACGATGATGAAGAAGAGGAGAGTGAGCCATGAAATGACAGTTGTTCTATACAATACCTGCTGCAAGACTTCAGGACTGAGCCATGGTAGGACCTTGATGCTATACTTGGGGAAGTCGTGGACAACTCTGAGCCGCTGCCCGTGGTTGATCATGCTTAGGTTACTGCGCAGGCCTGAGAGGTACACCTTCCCATCCACAGAGATCAGGATGTGGCTGGCTTTCACACTCCTTAAAGCAAAGGGGACCAGAAATAGGAAGTCAACACATGGTCAAGGATCATCTACCTTAGAAGGATGTTAAATTCCTTACCAGCATCCATGTGAGAAGGTTATTCTATAGGGATTTAAGGAAGGTATATTCTGAAACTTAGGCACATTGAACATCCAGTGAAAATATGTGACAGAGTGAGTACCAATAGCCTAGAATAATCAGGTTTTGAAACTTATGTCCAAGTATGTGTGGCAGCCATGTTAGTGTTTATCAGGAAAAACATAAATCTGATTAAGGGTCTGGAGGCACTGATTTCAGAGGAGAGATTAAAAGAGATAAATATCTGCTGCTTGGCAAGGTGATATTTGCATAAGCATAAATAAAGCCTCATCTCTTAAAAAAAAATGCAACTTTGTACCATTAATCTAAAAAAGCTAGGAGAGAGAACTAAAAGTGAAAGTACCTGGAAAGTATGAAACCGTAATTTATTGGCCATTCCACTGGATGAAGGAATAGGCTATCACCTCCCTAACGTGACACTGGGACAGTAGAGTGAACAGTGATGGAAGGATGGGAATAATGCAATCCGCTCATTCCCTTAGAGGTTTTGCTTGGATATTGTGTGAGGTCATTACAACCACCATAAAATACAGATGGACCCGCTTCACTGAAGCCTCAACACAGAGGCGTAAACTACATCAGAAAGACCCCTCTGCACGCTAAGGATAGAGAAGAATATTCACCCAAGGGACGGCAGATGGTTGCCTATCCACTGGAGGGGGCAGCTTTAATTCCTATCTGGGGCTCCATGGAAGTTAGTATATCCCTTGAGTATGCCCTCTTCCCAGCTAGCCTTCCAACTTCCCTGGTAAAAAGGAAGATGCAGCTGTTTTCTGCTGTCACAACCTCCCTCCTCTCATCTTTCCACCTTGGGGACCCCGTGGAAGGGTTTACTTCAGCAAAAGCGTCTTCTAGCCCCAAGTTACCAGTACACTTTGCCTCAGGAACACTCGGCGGTTTGCTTTTTTAAAGTACTATTTCTGTGGTAATGAGAAGTCCAGGACAGGACAATGGACATGTACAATAAAGCTCTCTACAGCAGCAGCAAGACAAGCTCCCCTGCACTGGCAAGCTAGATGCAAACCATATTCTTATTCCAAATCCCTTGAGATACCTAGTCCCATCTGGATGAATATTGTTTGTAAGCATTTCCTACAGAAAGTGATACAGAGAGCAATTTCCTTTTTACCTATGTACATAGCCCATATGGTGAATGTAGTCAAGAGCCTTCAGAACGCCCTGGAGGATATAAGCAATAGCTAGTTCACTCATTCCATCCATGAAATGGGTACAGATTAAATCCTTTGCAGAACCTAAAGAGATGAAGAAACGTTTTTTGACGGAGCAGGAAAAACAGAGGACACTCACCTAAATAAAGATGATTTCACAGATGCTAAAGCAGCCTGGTCAGATAGCAAACATATTCTCCTCTCCACCTACCATAAGCCATGAAGGAGGTCGCTACCCAGAGCTCATTGTCAGCTATGAAGGTCGCTTTATACGGCACAATGTTGGGGTGGTTGAAGAGTTTGGACACATGAAGCTCACCCTAAAAGCAAAAGGATATTTTGAATCAGTACAAAATAAATAAATACAAAACTCCAGATATGATACAGAGGAAGGTTATACTGGACGAAAAGTAGCACTTTGATTGTCTGCCAACAGACTGACTTGAATCTTCTCTTCACCTGAGAAGATCTCGTCTCTCCTTTTGCAGATAAAGAGGGAAGATATAACAGCTAAAATAATCTCTCACCAGAGTAAGATTTTCCCGGGACGAGGTCTGTGCATAGGCAATAGTTGCTTAGCACTGAATCCAGGCGCTCCCAAGTTAGTGCAACATGTCTGGCAATCCCAACTTCCAGCATAAAGGAATAGTCATGTGGGAAATTTTACATTAATTCAAAGAACACACATACTAAACCCCCACCCCAAATATCTGTTCTGACAACCTCTGCGCAAGGGCTACTTGGTGTTTATATCATGATGTGTCAACATTAATACCTATTTGAATGAATTTACTGGAGAAGGATAAACAAATTATGGCATCGGAGCGCCTGTATTTGGAACTTGATATACTATTTCCTTGCACTAATCTTCTTTTGAAACGGAGGAGCACATAGGATGTGATTACAGCAGTTTGGTACGGAAAGATCATTGGGTTCTTCCTCTTCAAGTGCAACGTATAATCCTTTAGAAGAGAACGGATTAGATACAAGTCTTGATTTTAACCGGAAGAACAATCCCCTCAGAACAGTGGTTCTCAGCCAGGGTTACGCAGAGGTCTTCCGGGGGGTACATCAGCTCATCTAGATTTGCACCTAGTTTTACAACAGGCTACATAAAAAGCACTGGCAAAGTCAGTACAAACTAAAATTTTATACAGACACTGACTTGTTTATACTGCTCGATATAGCATACTATATATATATTCATTCCAACTGATTTATAATTATATGGTAAAAATGAGAAAGTAAGCAATTTTTCAGTAACAGTGCACTGTGACACTTTTGTATTTTTATGTCTGATTTTGTAAGCAAGTTGTTTTTAAGTGAGGTGAAACTTGGGGCTACGCAAGACAAATCAGACTCCTGAAAGAGGTAGAGTAGTCTGGAAAGGTTGAGAGCCACTGCCTTAGAATAGTACTCTGCTTTCAGAGCAACTTCCACCTTGGACCTCAAAGTACTTTACAAACATGAATCACCTCACAACATGCTCGTGAGATGGGCAAAGATCCCCATTTCACAATTCAAAAACCAGGCACAGAGAAGTGACTTGCTCATGACCAGACAGCAGCTGAGATGATTCCAGAGAACCCAGAACACTAGAAACTCAGTCCAGTGCACTAATCCCTAGACCAGGGGTAGGCAACCTATGGCACGCGTGCCGAAGGCGGCCCACGAGCTGATTTTCAGTGGCACTCACACTGCCCAGGTCCTGGCCATTGGTCCAGGGGCTCTGCGTTTTATTTTAATTTTAAATGAAGCTTCTTAAACATTTTAAAAACCTTATTTACTTTACATACAACAATAGTTTAGTTATATATTATAGACTTCTAGAAAGAGACCTTCTAAAAAGGTTAAAATGTATGACTGGCACGTGAAACCTTACATTAGAGTGAATAAATGCAGACTTGGCACATCACTTCTGAAAGGTTGCTGACCCCTGCCCTAGACACTCCACCATCAGCTTCAAAATAATTTTAGATGTATCAGCCAATTAACATTTACGAAACCATAACTCAGTCTGAAGGAGTATCTACTGCCAGCACCTTACAATGGTTTTTTAATTTGATAATTTCTTCATTGGGATAATTGGTCTTTGTGGGCCAGTATTGCAACTACCGTGTTAAAGTTGTACAGCATCCTAGATACTTAGCAATGGACACCTTAGAAAACATTAAAAAACCTGCAGCTGAGATCCTAGGAGTCATGTTCTTTCAATATACAAGAAAGATGCTGTGCCCCATTCTAAAGATTGTAGCATCACCTGCAAGAATGTCACCATCTCATTGGTGCAGGCTTCCAGGTTAATCCTTCTGACTGTGACATACTCTCCTGATGGTTTATACCTGGCCAGGTTCACCGTCATCAGCTCCTCAAAGCCGTGGCCTGAAAAGAGAGTGAGATTAACCCCGTAAGCACAAATACAATTGACTGTGTGTTGTGGGAAAGCTTCCACCAACACTTCCTCCTTAGCAATTACCCTTATCCCGTCTCTCACCTTAACTGTTTTCGATGGTCTTGTCTAATATAAAAATGTGCCTGTTCTACATCACCTTCCAATTTAGAGCACTCTGCATACAAAACCCATTACTTAAAACCCTGCTGGGAGGTACCTCAGTAATATTCCTATTTTACAGATTTGGAAACTGAGGCACAGAGAGATGAAGTGACCTGCCAAGAGCCATACAGGGAGCTAATGGCAAAGCCAGGCATGAGACTCAAGAGTCCCAGCTGATACCCTTTTGCTTCAACCTCAAAACCACGCCTCCTCTCATCTAGTATTTATCTTTTACTTTGATTGTAAGAGCTTCAGGACAAGAAACCCATCTTAATTTACATAGTTATATAATGATTTTACTACTACTAAAACAAAACAAGAAAGAAAGGACATTTTACATTTCTGAAAACCACCACACAAGAAAAATTCAGTACCTTACAAAGGAAGACTTCACGAAGAATGAGAATTAGGTGTTTTTCTGGGAACATTACCTATTATGGTGAGCAACTCATAACAGCTGCTGTCTGGTAAAAAGCTGCTCATGGTGTCCCTTTTAGGGGAAGATGCTAGCGACTCGGAGCTCGCATCATTGGTCTAGAAAAGCAAGATAAAAATCAGAAACGGATATTAATTACATCTAGTAGAGAGATCATCTGTTCCACATTATATTTTTGCACATGCTCATAGTATCAGGACATATTTGAGTATAAAAGCTAGCAGTGTCTGCTGTAAATATCTCTAACACAAACTGAAGCCCAGAAGTTACCTCCTTCCAGAAAAGCCAGACAGCTGCTTTCTATGACATGTAACCAAACAAGGTAATTTACCATCTACTATAAACCAGAAGGTCTTTTTTTAAAAAGATTTTAACAAAGACAATTACTGTTCCACATGACAGCATTATTCCACCCCTTTGCAATAGCCAGGTTTCTCTCACTCTTTACAGACTTCTGCATCATCTGTTTGCTTGTTCAGGGGTGATAGACTGAAGGCCTGTCTATGGTGGGGGTTTTTTTACAATCTGGCAAGAAGCGATTCCTGGCTGAGGTCGCTACTGTTAATCCATGCATGCTCTCTCTGTGGCGAAGGCTGACAAAGTTGAACTTGTTTTGCTGCAGGAAGAAGGGATGAACCAACTCAGAAAAGCCCAAGATGCATAGATCAGACACACATGGAAAGAAGCTCCAAACGGGAGCAAAAGTTTAGCTGCAGCAAAGAGCTGGTACAAATGAACACGGGAGCAGCAGTCCCACGTCTGCCAGCTTGCATCTTTTCACTACAACTAAGAGAGCTCCCTGCTGTATCTACATGCACAAGCTGAAAAGACAAATGTTCTTCTCTGTTCATGCTAAGTCATGCTTACAACTGATTAAAAACAAGCTGTGCAATTCAACACACAGGCATTACAGTCCAAGTTGCATTACAGGAGCCTGTCTCAAAAACTGACAGATGATTTGATATGTGCAAAAAGAGGCCACAATCTCTGGCAGCGTTAGAAGCACGGTTGCATTCTAATTCTCCTCGGTGGGGGGGTTTCAGAGGAGCAAGAAAAGTCTATACATAGTGTTCAGGCATGTCCCATTATTGCAGTGTATTTTGTCCTTCAGTTACGCTTATACTTAGATGAGTGATACAAGGAGGCTCCAGATTTTTCTCTCTGCAACAGACCAAATCTGTTCATTTTATGTCAAGTTTGAATTAGGTGAATTTTTCCTAAACTGCCAGAAACACTAACTCCATCTGGGAGCTGGAAACCCAGGTGTGTCCTTTCTGCCTCAGATCACCAGCCATAAATATTCTACAATCAGACTTTCCTGACAATTTTGCTATTGATGCATGCAGCAGGGGGAAAAAAAACAACACAACTCACTCTCCTGTAGCTGCAGTGGAAGTGGAAACACACACTTTTTTCTGTCACTGAAAGAAGGAGGTATATTGCAATGACAAAGAGCCATTAAGTAACAAGAGGCTATTGTAACCATACCCACACTATGGCTTGGTCTACACTACAAAGTTCTGCTGGCATAATTATGTCAGCTAGGAGCGTGAAAAAAATCTCACACCCCAGTCAATACCGCTATGCCGGCAAAACCCCTGGTGTAGATGCAATTACACTGGCAGAAGGGTACTTTTGGTCAGCATAGCTAATGTCCTTTGGGGAAATGGTGCAGCTATGCTGGCAGAACTCCTTTGGCTGGTATATGCTGTATCTCCATTAGGGGGCTTTTGCCAGCATACTGTAGCTATTCTGGCAAAAAGCTCCATAATGTAGACCAGGGCCGGCTCCAGGCACCAGCTTAACAAGCAGGTGCTTGGGGCGGCCAAGGGAGAGGGGCGGCGGCACCTGCGGCAATTCGGGGGCGGCAGGTCCCTCACTCCCTCTAGGAGCAAAAGACCTGCCGCTGAACTGCCGCTGCCGATCGCGGCTTTTTTTTTTTTTTGCTTGGGGCAGCAGAAATGCTGGAGCCAGCCCTGATGTAGACAAGGCCTGTTTCTCCAACTGGGGTCTGCGGACCCCTTGGGATCTGCAAGGGTACTCCAGGGATCCGCGGGCCCTGCTGATCAACTCCTCCCCTCCCTCCCAGCACCTCCTGCACACCCAGAACAGCTGTTCCCTGGCGTGCAGGAAGTGCTGGGAGGGAGGGGGAGGAGCAGGGACGGGCATGCTCAGGGAAGGGGGCAGAAAGAGGCAGGGAAGAGGAGGAGCAGGGGTGGACCGGGGACGAGAAGGAATGGTGTGGGGGCAGGGCCTGGGGCTGAGGGGGAGACTTGGGGGTCCGCAAAATTTTTTAAATAAAAATAGGGGTCCTTGGGTTGCTAAAGTTTGAGAACTGCTGCTAAAATATATTCTGAACACTTTAGTTCTAACTTATTTAAAACAAAAAAACCTTACTCCATCTCCTAATGATTGTTTTTAAAGCATTCTTGATTCAAATATTAAATACTTGCTTCTTTAAGCAACAGCTGATAAGGACACTACCAAGAAGTAAAGGGGTCCTAGAAGCATCCTGAATCCACTGGTTCTAAAGACCAAAGGAAGGTTTTTTCAGCACCCTAACATTAACAGCTGACACCACTTATGCATTAGAAAACGGAGTTCTCTTTAAAATGTTATGCGTGAATTTGGCAAATGATTTTAATGTTATGAAACTGGCTACATAAGCTTCCCAATTCCATCAACATACCTTAGTTCTAACCTGCAGTGCCCTCTGTTATTCCAGTCCTGGCCCCACTTCCCACAGCTCTACAAGGCCACCTCAGCGGTTTGAGCATTGGCCTGCTAAACCCAGGGTTGCGAGTTCAATCCTTGAGGGGGCCATTTAGGGATCTGGGGCAAAAATCTGTCTGGGGATTGGTCCTGCTTTGAGCAGGGGGTTGGACTAGATACCTCCTGAGGTCCCTTCCAACCCTGATATTCTATGATTACTGAGTGCAGCATTCTTTAATATTTCAGTCCTAGGCTCTGTTAATGCACCTCCATACTGAGCCCCAGCTCCACCACCTATTCCAGTTCTGGAGACTCCCGCGCACAATTCTATTAAACCTGCAGTGCTCGTGTTCCAATGGTGGGGCTCTCCTAAGCAGACAGCTAGAACCTCTGGCAAACTGACTGAAGCATTGGCAATATGGATAAGCGTCCACTAGGAATCAGGTTTAGACCAAACTTCACTTGTGGCTTTAACCCAGTTTTAGACTCGGGTCTTAAGAAGTCTTAAGAAAATCCGATTTGGCATAAAACTTGGCTGGGACAAACTAGAGACTAACAGATAGCTTCTGAAACAATTATGCTGGCTAGCAAGGCAGAATCCCTAGAAAGTTGCAAGCAACAACACAGCTTTTGGCAAACTTCGACATTCTTTCTTTGATGATTATGTCAGTTACATGAACATATGATCCCAATTTTTCTACCACAATTAAAGTACTGGGAGCCAAGGAAACCAGCAGTTTACTCTTAAGCAGGAAGAGACAGTTTAGCAATGGGTAAAAGTTTGCCAGAAGTCTCCCCAGGCATTGAAGAGAAATGAAAAAACGCATCTACTATGTACTCACTCATCTGTGTTTTGGCCACATGGCGATTCAATACATTTATATGTAAATGCACTCTTATTAGAGAAATGCTAAGGGCTCCAATTCTAATTTTAGGAACGTGGGTGAATAGGCTGTATCTTATAAAACTTGCTGCAATGCATTCACAAGATGTAGGCTGATTGTACAGGTTATATACCCTGTGTGAGATCAGACACTGGGCCGCTAGGTCTATATGAGATTATACTTCCAGCTGCTGATAAACTAACTGTCAAGAGGGGAAACTACAGAACAGGCAATTTCACACCTGCCATTCTAACAGGAAAAAAAAAATTGGGACTAAAACGTTTCAAAGGTTAAAGTCGTGTTTAAATCAAACCAGAACCAAACAGATTTGACTCTTCAAATGAGAGTAAAGAGATCAGTGGTGGAAGTTTACTTGATATCAGGAATCAGATGAAGAAAAAAAAAAGAGAGATGATAGTACGGTATTCAAGCTCTGCTCATAATTCCAGAATGGTTGGTTGTTTCTGCTAAAATGATTAACAGTGAAAAGTAGACAATATTAACAATGGCATTATTGGATATCAGAGTCAACGCTCTACTTGAGGGGAAGGGGAGAGTATAAACCTCAGAGAGCTATTGTTTCAGTCAACCTACAGACTCAAGACAACATTGTATCAAAGGTCTGGAAGCTTAGTTTAAATTAAAAAAAAAGCTTAAATACTGAAGAAACTAATGGGACCAACAGAAAAATGCTGGCACCACCAAATACTAGCTCGATCCATCACTTGCTTGGAACTCAAAACCTCACATCAATGAACAGGTCAAGAGTGACTGTCACTAACAGAAACTGAGGAATCTGAGTTGTTCAAATTATCTGCACATTTTTAAATGTAAGCTAGAGTTCTCAAAATACAAATTATTATTAGGGGCATTTAACCCTTAGATCATTTTAACCTTGAAAAATTAAAAAGGGTATTCTTCAAATCTCTTATCCTCAGTATCTAGGGCAATCAGTGCTGAATTAATGCATCAAAATGATGGAAGATTTGCCCTATGTCAGGAATTATAGAATCACAAAAGTTGGAGATGGGAAAGATCCATCAGGTCATTAAGTCCACTATCCTTGGCCACTGAAAGTTTGTTTCCTACCATAAATTAGCCTCAGTTCAGATAAAGCATCCAGTTTTCTATAAGCTTTCTACTAATGGAACTGGGAGTCAATACTCCTGGGTTCTAATCCAAGCTCTGTAAAACAGATACACTATATCTCCCTTTTCCCATCTGTAAAATGGGGATAACGTCTACCCCAATGAGGGAGAGGACAAGGTTTAATTTTTGTAATAACCTCAGTGAAAGGCACTATATTATTTCAGCTCATGCAACTGAAGCACAAAGAGGTAAACGCTAATCTTTGGTTCAGCCATGATTGGAATCTGGAATCCCAACAGCTCCAAATCTTTTGCTCTGGCCACTATGTCACACAACACTAGCATTTGGCTGTGAATCCATTAACTATTCCTACCAATTCGGACTTTCACAGTTAATGCCCAGTTCATTACGTTTTCCATCATCTCCACGCACCCCTGTCAATGGCAGGACTGAAAGGAAAGAAACAGAGGCAGATGGAGGCCTGTGAAGCAGAAAGGCACCGCCAAGGAGATGAAAATTATTCTGCAGCAATGACAGCTGCTCTGAAACTGTGCATTACGTAGGTGGTTTGCTTTAATACAATGCTCTCCAAATTTAGCAGAAGCCAACAAAACAGATGCAAAAAACATGAAATAAATCTAATACGTTATTTTTTAACTATGGTGCAGGCTGTTTCAACCAAAATAGAATGTATCATCTGCTCCCCTTTAGAAATAATTCAGTACATTAGAGACCTTGATTCACCTCTCTGCAGATAAACATTAAGTTTGAAAACTCTACAACTAATCACAGTATGCAGAAGGGGCTCTACTCAAAAGTTAAACACTGTATGAGATTGAAAAAAAATAAAAAAAGTTAAACTGAAATGTTATTTATGAAATATTGCAAAAAAGCTCCCCGAGAGTTTCACACAAGATAACTTTTGGTGTGCAGTTAAAAATCATGAAAGCTGTAAAATGAAGAAACGTGTGATTAGCTGCATGAAGTATCAGAGGGGTAGCCGTGTTAGTCTGAATCTGTAAAAAGCAACAGAGGGTCCTGTGGCACCTTTAAGACTAACAGATGTATTGGGAGCATAAGCTTTCGTGGGTCAGAACCTCACTTCTTCAGATGCCACGAAAGCTTATGCTCCCAATACTTCTGTTAATCTTAAAGGTGCCACAGGACCCTCTGTTGCTTTTTGCATGAAGTAGGACATTCATTAAGGGCTAGCATTTCAGGCCTTTTAGAAATTATTTGCATTTGCCAAATCAAATGCTGGTGGATTAGATTTTGGATTCAATGCCGGGTGGAAGATAGAAGGTTTTGTTTTGTTTTTTACTTCCCAAGTTTCTCTTGCTCACTTTTGATTCAAACTAAAAACAATTCCTTTCCCTGATTAAGTAACTATTGCCTTGTTTCTACAACCATCTAGGGGAATAAGATTTGTTTTAAATGAAAGAAAGTCAGCATCAATACTGCAAAGATGTCTAAAAGCCCAGGATAGCCTCTCATTTAGGCTATGTCTACACTGCACACCACTGGTGCTTTAATCAGGACCATGAATATGACATGGATTACAGGTAAAGATTCAGACTGTCCTGGTTTGGACTACACTATGTATTTTTAGATGGGAATTCCATAGCTCTCTAGGGAATCAGTCCTCAAGCAGAAAAGATTTCTCTAAGCAGGTAGCAGCACCTGTTGAAGGCTCAAGACTGTTACTGTGGGCTCTGAAGGGAGCTATGCCAATGGGTTTTCAGCAGGTGAAGTCCCATTTGAAACTGAAGGTTATCTAATTCTCAGTTTGATGCTGGGGTCTCTTTTTGCAGATGTGGCATAGGGAAGAGAAAGGAAATCAAATTATTCAAAAAACTGGGCACTGGTTTTGAATGCTCAACCTGAGACAATTTGGGCCCTGTTTTCAGAACCACTTTTGAAAATGTGAGCCTAAGGAATTAAATCTCAGATTTACAGCTGAAACGTCACATGCAACAGCTTCAAAACCACACACCAAAATCTCCTTTCCAGGGTGAAACTTGTTTTCACACATGTAAAGCTAAATATACAGATGAAGTATAAAAATAAGGTAGAAAGAAAATCAAACTTCCACAAGGAATAATCTCCATGCAATGGACCACAGCACCACAGCCTGCAAAAAAATCACTTACTTTTCTCCGAGAGTCACCCGGAGGCTGCTCTGGAGTAAAGAAATTAATTGTTCACCATGTTTTCTTCAACAAACAAATACCCATTCAAAACATAGTTTGACTATATTTATGAAAATAAATAAATTATATGCCCTCAAAGCATAGTTTAGGTACTAGACAGGTATAAGGATATATTCCCAGGCAAAATCTTTAACTTACAATTAACATCACAACAGTAAGTAACAGACATTAGAAAACATATCAAAAAACCTAATTCTAAAAGTAAGAAGTTACACAGTTTCAATTAGTCTTACTGTTCATACATTTACCAAGAGAAACATAGGTTTGGGAGATTTGTTTTGTTTTTAGATTGTAAACTTAAACCCATTGTTTAAAAAGAAATAGTTTAATACATCTGATGCTTTTAAATATTTGGGATAAACTATTTTGGAAGTTTAATGAGGAATGCAATCAGTGTAGAAAGTAGCAGTTAAATTCTACATAATTCCAAGTTTCCCGAGGTAACAAAAATCCACATTTCGACAAGGACACTTATAACAAGGTTTCTGTGTAGCTAGAGGCTTAGATAAAATGGTCCAAATTCAGCCCTGGTATAAGCAAGTACAATTCACATTGAAATCAAATGAAACAGTGCTGTTAATATTGGGTTGAATTTTGGTTTAACAACTTCATTTCAGAGCAAAGTTTCTAATCAGATTTGTACAGTAAAACATGACAGATATTTTAAATGTATTTTCTTCCTAGAAGTGCAGTTAAGTCAGAAGAGTCACTGCAAAAAGCACCACCCACATCAGGAGCAAAGAGATACTAGCTACAGCTAGGTTTGAAATTGGTTCGGGTAGACCCATGCTTAAACATGTCTGAAAACTGCTGCAGCTAAACTGTTTTCAGCGACTGGTTGCAGGCAGGGATTAATTTAAAAAAACAGTGCTAGCCAAAACCATGCATAGCTTCTAAACATGGTAATAGTTTGTAACCATGGTGAGAATGGACGTAGTGTAAAAAAGGTTTGATAGAAACCACATCTGAAATGAGGTTCAACATGACTACAAAGCCCAATGTGGAAGGGAAAATCTGCAGAATTTACAAGTCAAATGGAAGCTTTTGCTAACTACTAACTCCACCTGGGATCTAATCATCTAGCTAGCTAGCTTCCTTTACATCATCTGTCACAAAGATTCTGTCATCAGAATTTAGCTGACAATTTTGCTAATGATGAAAGCAGCAGATTAAAATCCAGTTTACACTGTTGTCTCTACCCTAGAAATGAAAGTGTTACTGTTTTAAAACTTGTTTTTTGCCAGTGAAGTCAGTAGGCCCGATTCAAAGATACTCAAGGAGTAGATCTATTGTGTAAGGTGGCACCATATTTACATAGTTACTTTAGTGACCACAGTTACACCTAAAGGCTTCTCTTCTATTAGCTTTAATACTTTATTTTAACTAGACTCAGCAACAAACATTTGGAAAATTTTCAGTTTCTGTAATTATCCTTTTCAAGTTCAAAATCTGTATTTAACAGAGAAAAAACTGGTTATTCAGGAAAGACCAGACTGCACTAATGTACTGCATTACAACGTTCTGAAGTTTGTACTACTACTGACTTTAAAATGAACTGCTGTACAAAATCTAAAGTTCTTCCTTCTAAGTTTACTTTTGTTGGCCAATTTGAAGACAGTGCTATAAACTGATTTGTTCATTCATGTAGCACATTTACTTATACCAAACTGATGGGTGCTTTCAAGTTTAAAGTAAAAGATTTTTACTGAAGCGTGGAGTACTTACCTCCAAACAGTTCAAATTCTCTCAAGCCTTCTACAATGAACTTTTCGGACACCCACCGCTAGAGAAGAAAGTCCAAAGCCAATTAGTTATTCCACAGCTCATCCATTTTTATTTTAAGTCAACCAAAACAGAATCATATAGATCACTCTGACCATTCTAACACGTATCTCCTTTGCAATGAGGGAAATGAGCTAAAATTCATTCAGCAGCTGTAAATATTAATATTTAAAAAGTAACAGACATACTGATATAAACTGTTATTCTTTCATGTTCTGGAAGAAACGAAGTCAAAATGTTTAAAACTCAGAGCAGCCATAAAGGCTGATAGTGACATGATCTCTATCCACTCAGTTCAACTTTTGATTCACATCAAGATAGATTAGATACTAGAAATAAACTAATATCCTGGGGACATGGACTATGTCATTGTAAGCTTGTATAGTACGGAGTACACTGTTAACGCTCAGTCAACATTAGTCATTTTACTACTCATTTATGGCAAAAATCTTGGTCAGCTTGCTGAAGCAATCAACAAGTTTACTTACATTTATGTTAATCTACCTCTATTTGAAGCAGGCCGGTATGAGAAAGAGTCCACATTTAATTGAAAAGAAGCAGGATTTCATTGTATCAGTATTTAGCACAATGTGAATGATGTTAAAATTTCAAAAGGGTCATTTTTACACCATTCACAGTGATCATGTCAGAGATTTCTCTTCTGTCACACACACACTTTGCTGCTATCTTTTGAGTCGTGCTGAGTCTTATGAAAACACATTCTAACTTTAAGGGACACCAGGTTTCCAATCATATTTACAATACATTTCCTTACCTGCGTTACTGCTGCTTTATATTAAAAAGCCTTTTTAAAGTGGATCCTTCGCACATTTCATTCTCAACAATGTATCTTCACTACTTAGTTTACTTCCTGTTTAAGTGCTATACACAACAGTTTTTTTATGGATTTCCAGCATTTAAAAGGAACCATTTTAAAACAAACAAACAAAAAAGACTTCATTTTAAGTTTAAAAGACACGAATATATACAAAATATAAATGAAACTTAACTAAATTGACAGTGTCTTTTAAAGACATTTCCTCCATCTCTTTTTCAAAGGTACCATCAACACAGTTAAGTTTCAGCATTTGTTTTTTCTGCAATTTCTGTACATTATAAAACACTAAGTGATAAAATCATTTTGTACAATACATAAACAGAAAAAAGATGTATTCAACAATCAGCACTATCTAAAGAGAATGAACTCAGCAAAATGCATGTTATAAGCATTTGGCAACACATCTAGCTCACAGATACATACCTTTTAAAAGTAACTCTCTTTCATAAATCAAAATAATTGTATTTAATTAAAAATCTAGTTCTCCAGCAACAAGATAGATTATGGTCCCAATCCTGCAACAAGAACTGTGTGGGCAGGGCCTTGTGGAGCTCCAAGTAAGTTAATGGGACAGGCTCCACCCCACACAAGTTGTTGCAGAATCAGGGCTTATCTCCGTGTATAGGGAAAGATTTACAAAACCAGTGCTTTTTTGGAATAATGCTAGAAGCTGTTTAACACTCACCCTAATTCGTTCTGGATTACTTACAAGAAAAGACATGGAATCCAGATTTGTAATGCTACTCCAAGTTCGTGAAATTAAAAATCTCCTGAAAATGAGAGCAAGACAATTGTTTTAAGAAGGCAAAGCAAATGAGCTGTCTCCACTCTAAGCGTTTCCAACAAATGAGTTCCTGCTCTGTTTATCTTGTTCCACTCTATAAAGCATGTCTCCAGTTGCACACATCAATACCTAGGTAGCTCTATTGACTATTGAAAGATTAGAGCACAAAGGGTTTTGTATTAATTAACTTTAACAAGTTTTGCAAGGTGAATTTTCCCAAACAGGTTCAGAAATATCTGAGCAAACCATTTAAAAAAAAAAAAAACTTTAGAAAAGATATTTCACAGAGGTAGATATGCAGTACAATATTTGGTAGACTACAAGTTCCAAAGGGCAAGGACTTTTATCCTCCGTCTGTACTACAACTGTGCAAAAAAACAGATTACAGTTCTCTAGCAATTCAGACAAATAGGGAAAATCATTTTTGGTCAAACAAAACATTTAGCTTTGATTTCAAGCTTTTAAATTTTTAAAAAATAACAGAGAAAATTTATAAAAGAAAAGTAATTTTAAATAAAAAAACCAAAACATTTCATTTAAAAAATGTCTAAACAAACATTTTGAGGGATTTTTTTTTTTAAAGGCTTCCCACCCACCGCCACCAAAACAAGTAAGTGAAATCTACATGATTTTGCAAAATGTTTCTATGTAACCTGCATTTTTCGCCAGTTTTGTTTAAAGATTTCATTCAGCTCTAGCGGTACAGAACCTCGCATAATGGGGCCCCAGTGCTGTTTAGTTGTCTAGGTCCTACCGTAATATCAATGTTTAATAATTTCCCAGAGAGAATAGCAACAGAAAGGTACACAGCATGTTACACAGCTGTTAAGCAAGTGGCTGTGAATAGGAATATCTGAGTCCTAATTCTTCTGATTGAGTCCTAATTCTGCTACTGATTTGGTGCATGACCTTGGGCAACTCACTCACTTGCCCTGGTCCTCAGTTTTCCCATCAGTAAAATGGGGATAAACACTTACCCACCTTTGTAAGGCACCTCAGATGAAAGATGCTGTATAAGTATAAAGTATCATTATCTTGCAGGGGATACACAAAGGAAGCTTTATAAAATAGAACTGCTACAGCGTCTCAGTAGGATCAGTGTGGAATGTCCAGAATACAATATACATCATCCCCGCTGACAGTTACAAGAAAAAAGTCTGTCCACTCCCCAGTGGACAAAACCACACAAACTTACTTGATCCTAACATCGACTGTTCCAAGAGGGAAAAATAATCAAGTGAAATCCTTAAACATGACATCCATCACAATCTCTTCACCACCTAGAGGATAGCTATATGCTCTCTGAAATCCAACCAACAGACAAAGAGGGCGGCCATCATAGTGGTCAATCATGATGACTGCGCCAACCAACAGCTCTCAGACACCATCTACTATAAAGAACTCAAAGAAGATCCCACACCACAATTCACACAGGAATTTAAGGATATCACCAAATCCTACCTCCAAACAACTCCAAGAGAAACTCTACAACCTCATCCCCCACAAACTTCTACATGCGCCTCAAGATACACAAACAAGGGAACCTATGCAGACCTATCATATCTGGCCATGGCACTCTGACTGAAGGAATATCAGGACTCAAAGACCATCCTCAAACCACTCACCACACAAACAGCCAGTTTCCTCCAGGACACAACCCATTTCCTGCAGAAACTCTACAACATTAACACCATACTTGCCACCATAGATGTCACCTCCCTATAAACCAACATCCCTCACCATGATGGTGACGCTTGCCTGCCTTAAATTTCTAACAAGACAATGGACAATGCTCAGAAATCCACCCCAAACACATAGCCAAACTCATCCATTTCATCCTCACCCATAACACCTTTACATTAACACTTTGGCGAAACCATGGGAACAGCTGTGAGTACTAGGATGGCTCCCCAATATGCCAAACTCTCCCTGGGCCACATTGAGGAAGAATTTCTGGAGAAAACGCACTGCAAAACTAATGATATATCTAATATACATTGATGATATTTCATCCTCTGGACAGATGGCCTAAACTCCCTCATAGATTTCTACCACCACTTCAACAACCAACACCCAACCATCAAACTCTCTCTAGAACACTCCCACGCCAGCATCAACTTTCTGAACACCATGATCAGCATCAACAATGGAAACCTACAGAAAACTAAATACAAGACACCCACAGATCACCACACTCACCTCCACAGATTCAGTTATCATCCCAGACACACCAAGAAATTTATTGTCTACAGCCAGGTGCCCAGATACCACAGAATATGCACCAAAGAGAAAATCCAGAATACATATCTTAACACACTCGTTCTCAACCAATGGTTCGGGGCCCCCTGTGGGGCCACAAGCAAGTTTCAGAGGGTCCACTAAGCAAAGCCTGCCTTAGACTTGCTGGGGCCCAGGGCAGAAAGCCGAAACCCACTGAACGGGGCTGAAGCCTGGGGCTTCGAGCCTTGCCACCCAGGGCTGAAGCCAAAGCGTGAGCAACTTAGCTTTGTGGAGCCTCCTGTGGCGTGGGGCTCTTGGAAATTGCCTATCTTGTTACCTCCTAACACTGGCCCTGGCTTTTATATGCAGAAAAACAATTGTGGCACAGGTGGACCATGGAGTTTTTTTGGCATGTTGTGTGTGGTGGGGGGGGGGGGGCATCAGAAAGAAAAAGGTTGAGAACCTCTGCCTTAACACACTTAAAACAGCCTTCACTAAACAAGGACACTCCACCAGAGAAGCAGACGACATCATAGAATGGACCATCCAAATACCAGGGAGAACCTGCTTCAAACTCAGGGAAAAAACCCTCCACTGATCACATGCTCCTAGCTGTCACCTACCACCCCAGGCTAGAACCGATACAGCGTATCATCAAATAACTACAACACATACTTGATGGGGACCACATTCTGCAAGAAATCTTTCCCAAACCCCCTCTTCTGGCCTTCAAACAACCTCGCCAAGCTCTCCCATCAGAAGCAAGCTCCTCGCAGATCAGAACACACCAATTCAAAACAGCACCAGACCCTGCCAGAACAACAGATGAAAAACCTTCAGAAAGAAGAAGAACAGGAGTACTTGTGGCACCTTAGAGACTAACAAATTTATTAGAGCATAAGCTTTCGTGGACTACAGCCCACTTCTTCGGATGCATATAGAATGGAACATATATTGAGGAGATATATATACACACATACAGAAAGCATATATATGTCCTCAAT